ACAACAGTGGCTGCCCCCTCTTTCCCCAGAAGCAGCAAACAGCAATCAGAGCACAGATTCCCCAATATCTGGAGGACAGGGTCCTTTTTGCCCCCTGTCTCCTGCAGGCTGTCCCAGAATCCTGTGCACAGCTGCCTGCCATGTGGCCTAGGGTGAGGGATAGTTAGCTGCTACTGTGTCAAGAGCTGATACTGACCAAAATTAGCTGCAATTTACCCTCCAAGCTTTCCCCTGGAAGTTGCAAGCCTTCACCAGGTTTCAGAGTTCCAAAATAGTTACATCCCATAGATTCTGCCAGGACAGTTTTTGTCTAGGTGAGGGGAAAGAATCCTGGTGCTTCTGACTCCGCCTTCTTCCCAGAATTTGCTGCCAATCATTGCTTTTTGATATAACTTGCAATGTTAACAGCTTGCTGTCTTAGGAAGATCGATACTTGGACATGGTAGTTTACTTCTCTGACACATTGTTTAATTCAGTTTCCCAAGAGTTTTGTATTTATGATCATCAAACATGATCCAATATAATTTTATTTTGGTTACACTAGTTTTACAAGTTACACTAGCTTTACAAAACAAATTAGGTAATTTCCATAATTTTCTATACTTGTAGTCATTCATAAGCATTGACATGAACTGTTTCTTCAAAGTTTCAAAGATACCATATGAATTTGGAGCCATTCTGAAAGCTAACTCTTTGAAAACATCCTCAAACTCTTGCTTGCTTTGTGGACCACTGCAATTTTCAATATTCTAATGAATCTTTGGTAATGTACACTTTCCTATCTTACCAAAACTTTCCATTTCAGGAGTACTTCTTTGTAATTTTTAATCTCCTCTGGATATGTAATGTTTCAACTTATGATTTTATTTTTTTTAAATCCAGCTTTACTAATTAGATTTATCAACGATGGGATTGGCAATGTCATTTACTTTATTTAAAATTTACTTTATTAAAGTACAGTTGATTTACAACATTGTGTTAATTTCTGCTGTACAGCAAAGTGACATATATATATATATTCTTTTTTATATTCTTTTCCATTATGGTTTATTACAGGATATTGAATATAGTTCCCTGTGCTATACAGTAGGATCTTGTTGTTTATCCATTCTATACATAATAGTTTGCATGTGGAAATCCCAAAGGCCCACTCCATCCCTCTCTCACCCCTTTCCCCCTTGGAAACCAAAAGTCTGTTCTCTATGGCTGTGAGCCAATTTCTGTTTTGTAGAGAAGTTCACTTGTGTCATATTTTAGAGTCTACATGTAAGTGATATCTTATGGTATTTGTCTTTCTCTTTCTGACTTAATTCACTTAATATGATAAGTCCATCCATGTTGCTGCAAATGGCATCATTTCATTCTTTTTATGGCTGAGTAATATTCCATTGTGTATATATACCACATTTTCTTTATCCATTCATCTGTCAATGGACATTTAGGTTGCTTCCATGTCTTGGCTATTGCAAATAGTGCTGCTGTGAACATAGGGGTGCATGTACCTTTTCCAATTATAGTTTTTTCTGGATATATATTGGCAATATCATTTACTTTTTTTTTTTTTTTTTGCGGTATGTGGGCCTCTCACTGTTGTGGCCTCTCCCGTTGCGGAGCACAGGCTCTGGACGCGCAGGCTCAATGGCTATGGCTCACGGGCCCAGTTGCTCCGCGGCATGTGGGATCTTCCCAGACTGGGGCACGAACCCGTGTCCCCTGCATCGGCAGGTGGACTCTCAACCACTGTGCCACCAGGGAAGCCCTATCATTTACTTTTATTGCCTTTCACCAAGCACTAACTTTTAGATCTGTAAATCAATTTTTCTTTTTCCTGTAATTAATTTTTATTTTTTATTATGTACTTCTTACTGCTTTCTGTGAGTTTATTAATTTCTGAACCTCTTTCAAGGAGAGATCAGCTAATTCACTTTCTTATTTTAAACTTTTAACAAAGAATAAGGCTATGAATTTACCTTTAAATGTCAGTTCACTTACATTGCATATGTTTTTGTATTAATTTTTCATTGATACGTCATTCCCTGAGCCTGCACGTCCAGAGCCTGTGCTCCGCAACAGGAGAGGCCGCAACAGTGAGAGGCCCGCGTACTGCGAAAAAGAAAAAGAAAAAGAAAAAGAAAAGAGCCCGCTGTGTGCAGGCAGCTCAGTGCCCAGGCCCCAGCCCAGGCCTGACGCTGTGGGCCAAGCACACGCGGGATCTTGCATCTGTGGCCACACAGGACACTAAAAATCCATGTTATGAAGACAGAAGGAAAAGGAAATTCATTAGCCTTTTACCCATTTCTCTGGTCTACTGTCTGCTTCTTGAAAAAAAAAAAAAATCAAAGGACTGAAAACTCAGACTAAGCCAGATAAAATCTAGGTTTGGCCTCCCATTTTAACTGAAAATTTTCACTTTCCCCTATGCTGGAGCATAGATTTGAAGCTATTCAAATCTTTCCAAACATGAAAGAATAAAAATCCACTTATGCATGAAAAGTGGTACTAACCCTGAGAGAAAGTTTAAGCTACAGCAACCTCGGAACTGTTGTGGAAAATACATATTCAGATTTTTAGCAACATTTTAAAACATAATGAAAGAAAACCCGGCAGAGTGTTTGGTGGAATAAACTATAAAAAACAGACCAGCAAATGCCCATCTCTGCATCTCTGTGTCTAAAGGGCAGATGAGAGAGAGCTCTTCCCACGCTCAATCCCCCAACTTCTTTCTTTTCTCTTTGAGGTGTGATCAACATACAAAAAGGTGAACATATGCAACGCCTACAACTTGATGAGTTTAGAAATACATATACACCGTGAAGCCATCACCACAATATATGCCATAAACCTATCCATCACCTCCAAGCATTTCCTGCTGCCCTCTGAATTTGTGATGACACAACATAAGACCTCCACTCAGCAAAGGCATGAGTATACAACACAGTGTTACTAACTATAGGTCCCACGCTGTACAGCAGATCTTAGGACTTATCTTACGAAACCGGAACTCTGTAAAAACTGGAACAGAACTCTAGATCTCCGACTGTCTCCCTGTGGTGTGTGATGAATAGAGGGAGCCCGCCCACACTCTGGAGGTGGGAAGCCTGACGGGGCAGATGGCACGCAGGGAGCCATGCAGCCACTGGCCCACCACATGGGCCCAAAGACAGGAGCTCAAGGAGCAGTGCCTCCCCAGCCCTGCAGAGTCCCTGGCGCCCCCTGCCCCCAAAGGGAAGGGAAACATCTCACATGTAATTTCAAAACAAGGAACGGGCCCGTGTCCCGAGGGAAACTTGAATTCACCCACCACAGCATGTCTGAGGTTTAGGTAGTTAAAGCAGTGTTTTATAAGAATTAGGAAACCACGAATTCTTATGACCCTGGGGCACCACTCTGGGTAACATTCCCTAAATAGGCCAAATGTAACTTGTGCAGACATGTCTATAGCAACACAATTAATAAGTACTCACAATACTCATAAACGCACAGCAAATGCTTATTGAATGAACAAATGAAAAGCAAAACAAAAGAAAACAAATGATCAGCAAGGACAGACTATCTAAGCAAATCACCATTTAGTAACATGATTAATATTTAGTCCAGAAGCATTAAGAATGTCATGGACAGTACAGTTTCTACATAAAAATTTACACATGAAATAATTTTTAGGAAAAAGAACAAATAATGTGCTGCATAAACATGCATAAAAGATGCACCAGACAAAGGATTAATCTCCTCCTTAAATTTACAGGCAGCTCATGCAGCTCAATAGCAAAAAAATAAACAACCCAATCCAAAAATGGGCAGAAGACCTAAATAGACATTTCTCCAAAGAAGATATACAGACTGCCAACAAACACATGAAAGAATGCTCAACATCATTAATCATTAGAGAAATGCAAATCAAAACTACAGTGAGGTATCATCTCACACCAGTCAGAATGGCCATCATCAAAAAATCTAGAAACAATAAATGCTGGAGAGGGTGTGGAGAAAAGGGAACATTCTTGCACTGCTGGTGGGAATGTGAATTGGTACAGCCACTATGGAGAACAGTATGGGGGTTCCTTAAAAAACTACAAATAGAACTACCATATGACCCAGCAATCCCACTACTGGGCATATACCCTGAGAAAACCAAAATTCAAAGAGTCATGTACCAAAATGTTCATTGCAGCTCTATTTACAATAGCCCGGGGATGGAAACAACCGAAGTGCCCATCGTCGGATGAATGGATAAAGAAGATGTGGCACATATATACGGTGGAGTATTACTCAGCCATAAAAAGAAACGAAATTGAGCTATTTGTAATGAGGTGGCCAGACCTAGAGTCTGTCATACAGAGTGAAGTAAGTCAGAAAGAGAAAGACAAATACCGTATGCTAACACATATATATGGAATTTAAGGAAAAAAAAGTGTTATGAAGAACCTAGGGGTAAGACAGGAATAAAGACACAGACCTACTGGAGAACGGACTTGAGGATATGGGGAGGGGGAAGGGTGAGCTGTGATAGGGCGAGAGAGAGACATGGACATAAATATACGAACAAACGTAAGGTAGATAGCCAGTGGGAAGCAGCCGCATGGCACAGAGATACTGGCTCGGTGCTTTGTGACCGCCTGGAGGGGTGAGATAGAGAGGGTGGGAGTGAGGGAGACGCAAGAGGGAAGAGATATGGGAACATATGTATATGTATAACTGATTCACTTTGTTATAAAGCAGAAACTAACACACCATTGTAAAGCAATTATACCCCAATAAAGATGTTAAAGAAAAAAATAGATGCACCAATAATTAGGTAAGAATAAGAGGTGACAGACATACAACACAGCAGACATTGCATTTATTATCAGCACAAATGCATAGTAAGGTTGATCATCAGAACTTAAATGAATAAACATGGCCTGAATATTTTCTTCCAGCATATTCTGTGGCAGAGAACATGCTTACGGAGAACATGTAAACTGAAAGGAGGAGAGACAAGGACAGAGGGCTTGGCTGACCTGGAGTGGGGTTCGGGGGCTGCCTGGTGTAGGACACGTTGAACGCCGGCTCCTCGATCAGCGGTGGGGGGTACATGCGCCTCCGGATGAAGAAGCCGGCTCCACAGCAGAAGAGCACGCCCATCATCAGGAGGAACCTGGGCGAGAGCACAGGGTGAGGCCTCAGGCAGAGGCCCGGGCAGACGGCAGGGCTCCCTGGCTGGTCCTCCCCGACCACCTTCCCCCGGGACGGGCCCGGTGGAGCACACCAGGGAGACAGCTGGCTTGCAGAGCTCTGGGTGCCCCTGGATGGAGGCCACTCGTGCTGAGAAGCTCTTGAAGTGAGCTTTCTGCTTCAAAAGCTCCAAATGGCTGTTGGCTTCAAAGGGCTGCTGCAATTACCTTCCTGTGCATGGCTCTGACCTCAACTCGATATTTTAGTCAAAACGGGAGATGCCTTTTCAATCCAGTTTGAACACTACTGCTTGTCTTCACTGTCTATTTCCCCCATTTTTCTTTACCGTCAAAGCAAGAAGAGTAAGCACGTGATCCTTTCTAGCAGTTTTCTCTCCATTATTATATGAACATCCATAAAAAAAAATTTTTTAAGTGCCCTTCCTAGAGCACATCTTAATTATAGAGAAACTATAGGAATAGAGAAAACGCTCACAATCAATAAACAGGCTGTTTTTAAATCTCTAGGTTCTAAGTATGGCTGAACCTTCTACCATGACCCTACAGTCTAACGGACACAGAGCGGACGGCTAAGGATCGGACCTTTGTCCAAATCATCTAAGAATCCTCAGATGCATCACTGGTATTCAATAAATAATGAATGAATGAATGACTCTTCCCACCTCACATCTGCACTATACCTGTTTTACTAGAAACAGGGGGAGTCATTCTGAGAAGGGCCGAGTTGTCTGTTCCACACAGACATAACTGAGAAACTTGCCCATCTCTAAACTGATATGACGATGGGACTCACAGAACCTTCCAGAACCTCACTCAACACGCACACACACTCTTGTGAAGGATGCACACACAGCAGAGCTGGCCATGTCATGGTCAAAGGCACCTGTCCACACACAAATGAAATTTAAGAAAAGAGGAGACAATAAAGCCTTCAAGAATAATTAACATAATGTTAAGGGTTAAATTAAGTCCATTAGTCAGTCAGTAAGCGTTTACCGGACAACCTTGGAGCGCTGAACACAAACAAAGATCAGGGGCACCAGACAGGAAATGATTCAGGAAAAGGACTGAAATTGTGGCTTTCTGATCTCTCATCTAATTCATTATTCATTGAACAAAAATTTTGTTAAGCAACTGCCATGCTCCCAGCACCAGTCTGTGCATTCCAGGGCATAAGACAGGTGGGGTCTCCCCCTCACTGAACTTGAGTTCTCATAGGGGAGGGGGACAGTAAACAACAAATTAACAAAAGTGTTTAATTGCAACTCTGATAGTGCTAAGAAAAGCAAGGATACAACATAGATTTGGGGTGGGAGTGGCGGGTAAAATATACATAACACACAATTGTGTTCATCATTTCAAGGGTACAATTCAAGGCAACAAGAGGGTTAACAAGGGTATCTGTCAGAGTGAGGAAGCTTCTTTTCCTTCAAAGCAACATCTGAGCTGAGCCTGAATGATGGAAAGAAAGAGACAAATTGAAGGGAAGGGAAGGAGCTTTCTTTCTGGGTGGAAAGAACAGCACAGGTGCTCCCACAGGAAAAGCTGGGTGGGTGAGAGACCCGGAGGACAGCCGTGAGCTGCAGAGGGGCGCAGTCTTGGGGAGCTAGAGGAATCCAAGGTGTGCAAAACAAGGCCCTCTCCGAAGTCAGATGCTGGAATCCAAAGGGAACAGCTTCATTTGGACTCCATGATAATCTTACGTTCAACCCTGGGTCCAACTGTAAACATCTGGGCAGAAAGGTAAAGCATAGGGAGGCTAAAAGCACGTGAGGGTTTCCCTTCTCAGTAACACTACTGTTCACTCCCAAGGGACCAGGCTCTCTGGATTAGAAATGCAGAAGCGGGTTAGGGAGGGTGGGAGGGAGGGAGACGCAAGAGGGAAGAGATATGGGGACATATGTATATGTATAACCGATTGACTTTGTTATAAAGCAGAAACTAAGACACCATTGTAAAGCAATTATACTCCAATAAAGATGTAAAAAAAAATACAAAAAATAAAAAAAGAAATGCAGAAGCCATACGAGATCTTGGTCTCTTCCATGAGACAAGCCAAAATGTTGGTTACACCGTCAAATGGAATACATATTTCTTCCTAGACAATAAAAGCGATACGCACCTCACACCGTGGACTGCTGGAGAGCACAAAGGTGCAAGCAAATAAGAACAAAGTCACATGGCAGGAGACCAACTCCCGGCTTAGGGGGCAATCATCAGACTCATTCCTTATTGAAGCAGCAGTCTGAGAGAAACTAACAAGGGTGCAGCGGAATGAGCTTCTGGTAACGGCGAGAGGAAGCAGGGTGTCAGTGAGGGAAGGCGCGCCACGGTAAGAAAGCAGCTCTTGGAAGTGCTGTGAGTTACAGGACGATTGTTTCCTAGACATTCTCTTCCACTGCTGAGCAGGTCTGAGGAGCTTCCCTGGGATTAAGAGAGGAAGTGTGTGCCTTTTCCGTCATCAAAAGTAACCTGGTTTCTTCAATTCAATTTGTTTTTTCAGTCCCTTCCTGCCTCCCCGCCGCAGCATTTGGAACAGCAGTTCTCAGCTCCCAATGAAGGCCCCAGGCAGCAGCAGAGCCCCTGCAGATCCAGGGCCGACCTGCCCCAGCCCGCAGCCCCACGGGAGCCCTGGCAGCAGGGCAGCACTCACCTGCCAGGCTGCAGTCTGTTGCAGTGCGCTTTCCAACTCTACACCTTTTCTAATCCTGGGGATTTCATTAGACTATCCTGGTTAAAGATTACTTAAGATTTTAGAGCTGGCAGGGACTTCTGAAAGCATTCTCCTCCAAAACCTCTTGTGTTACAGTAAGGAGCCCAAATTCCTCCAGAGTCAAGTGGGACCAGCTTGGAGAGCCGCCCCACTCCCGCGCGATGCCCAGCTCCATCCTGCCAACCTCCTGCCCTCCCTGCAAACCTGCCCCCATACCAGCTCCCCATCAATCCCTCACCAGGTGCGTGCCTACGTCCCTGCCCGTGCAATGTGCTGGGCCCTTCGCAAGGAAGGCCCTCTCTGAGACCCGGTCAGAAGCTGTGCGGCTTTCCCCAACGTCTGTGGCATCAGAGGCTGCACGCTTTGTTTCCAGAACACTGGTTTAAAACTCTCCATGTGTCTAGACATCTGTCTGTTTTAGGAGCCCGGCTGCCGTGGGGCCTTCTCCATACCAGACACATAACTGAGAGAAGGAACCCATGGAGCGGAAACCAAGTGTCCTCTGACTTTAGCTGGGGCACCTCAGACTTGCATCTCAAGGTGCTCTCTGGCTGTATCCCCAGCTTAGAAGCTGCTATCTGGTATCAGAATCTCAACTCAAAGAACTCAACCAAACCTTCTCATATCTGGCACCCCGACCTTGGAGACCTGCCCTCCTTCCACGGCTCTCATGAGATGCCTCTGTGTAGGGACCCACTGGCTCGCTGAGGTGCCCTGACCCTGACGAGTGACGCCGGCCAACAGCTCAGAAGCACCGGCTACCAGCTCAGGGAACGCTTCCAGGGAAGGTCGACAGAAGCTGCTCTAGCAGCCAGGCCCTCAGAGCTCTCCTGGACCTTCCATTTTTCCTTCTTTCTAATCACGTGATGTCTAAACTTTGACAAGTTTCTTCATGTTTAGGAGCATTTCCACAACCTCATCATCATTCGTCTGGTGTTTCAGGCCAAGCTGAAGCACGGCTGATCCCTTCCGGGACCCTCGACCACAAGGCCCCATGGAGGCAAGTTCTGAGGGGGCACGTGTGTGAAGTCACGCAAAGCTCTGAGATGCCACCTCCCCTGGCCCTCCTCACCCCAGCTTTGGTACCAGTCCCTCCCACCCTGATAGGTACACAGAGGTGTTAACATTTGGAAAATCTCGGGGTAAAAAAAGTTCTCCTATTATAGAGTTTGAGGCACTAGCAACTAGGAGGTGGGGAGAAGCCAACACCAGCGTGGCATTGCTCAGGGCCCGACGTGACAGGTGAGTCCAGCCCCCACACGGCCAAAACCCCATCAAGGAGGTGGTGATGGTGAGAATGAAAAGAGGGTCTCCTGTTAAAGAAAACGTGGCATGTGGAGTACCCACTTCCTGCTG